AGATATGTAATTGTGTTTGGAGTTCAGAGTTTTGGTTCAGCATTGTGGTGTAGTAATTTTTACTTACAGTGATCTCATGTCTGTTCCTCCAGAAGCAGGAAATGCATCGAGGTTCTGAAGGGCAAGTCTGCAACACCGTTTACTCTTTGGCTAATTGCACAGCTTCAGGAGGATGTTCAGAGATGAACTGTAGACACCAGCCCTGTCTGCAACTCACCCTAGCTGCATATAGACAATTTTGGACAGTTTTCAGGGTGAGAGACCTACAAAAGCAATTTTACTTTTAGTCACACTCCTCTCCAAGTCTGCAGAAGGTACAACCAACTGGACTAGCAATTTGGAGTAATGTATTTTTTTTGGACCATCTTATTCCTTGCTGTGACTGTTCATTCACCCTTCCTATTTTCCCTCTTTCTTTAGTTCACTGCCTCTGGTGACACAATTTAGAGCAGTGCAATGAACGTAAGAGTGAGGGTATTAAAATCAAGTACAATTTTAAAAGTCATGAATAGACTATATGGCAAAGTGTTTCAGCTTCAAAAATTATCTACACTTGTTTGGAATGCCCTCAGGAACCCTTCAGATTTGCCCCATTTTTGGGAATTTGTCATCTTTCAACACAGCTGATGTCCTCTCAGTAACCTGTGTCTATTGCTTCACTGTTAATAAGGACTTCTAACAGTCTTTATGACTTCAGTGAGAAAAAGCAATTTCATGATAATTAAGATTTCGGGTATTACAATACTCAATTACTAAATAAACATGAGAAAAGATGCACTTCTCTGGAGACTTTCAAAGGTATTGAATACCAGGTGCTACCCATGTCAAGCCCTGGAGTTTCACATTATGAAGTTCCATGTGTGTCTAGGTAATCTCACTTTGTTATAAAGCTGTGAAGGAAAGATCTTTGGACAAGGAGGAAATGTTAAGTCAAATTCACTCCTAAAGAACTCTAGTGACTTGAGTACAGAAAGGTAGACCTGCCCCATTATTTGTCAGATGTTTAATTCACTTAAAAATTAAATGAAAAATCAAGGCAAAAGACACCCTTTATGCCTTGAGTCTGTGCTTCAGACTGAAACAAATTACCATAATTCAACTGAAACTACAGTTTCTGTGTAGCAGCCAGAATTAGTCATAAATCAGACAAAATTCATGAAGTTAGTGGATGAGTAATTTTGACCAAACTTTGAGTATTAAGCCTTGAATCAAGCGAATGCCACATGGCCTCCAGGCCTGGTATATTTCACATAGCTGTACTACTCTAATTTGCTTTTAGTTTTACTAAGTCAGGATTGATCCTATCATAAAATATTCTTCCTTAAATATAATTGGTTTTCTAGGAAAAAAATTCAGAAAACTTCTATGTTTATATTTTATAAAAGCTCCTGTAATTAGGAATTTCATGTCAAATACAGTGAACGCTCAAAGAAAATTCAGTGAATGAAATCCTAGTCCTGATGAAGCAACGTGCAAAATTTCGTTAATTCTTATGTGAGCAAGATTTCATCTAAAGGCTTTGATAGACATGCACCAAGACTAAATGTCTAGATGTGACAGTGCTGAAACTTGAAGTGATCCACAATATGAACACACACATTATTTGAAATATTTCCAATGAATCTGTGTCCGTATAAATTCAGATGTTGCAGTAGTGGAACTATGCATCCATATGTAATAAATGTGTCTGTCTTCTAATGCCAATAAGGCATCAACAAGGAAGTTAATAATTTAGTAGGAACATAAAGTTGTACTGCAATAAATTAAAACAATATAAGAAACCCAAGCTCTGAAATTTTGAATACTTTTATAGGCATGTAACTCTACAAGAGCCACTGAGATGACTCATAAATAAAATTGTCCATGAAACTGAATTCTGTGATAAGGAATCTGGAAAATTTCCAAAAATACTCAGAAGAAATAGGTCCTTTCTCCCCACCTCTTCTAGCCACAGTGATTTTTCTTTGCATCCTAGTCCTAGGGCATTTTTAAGTGGAAATCTAGCATAGCAGATAGACTAGACTTTCAGCAGGCCAGCCATACATGGTTTTTTCCTCTATCCTTATAATTATACTGTCACTTTATCCCTCTATAACAAACATATTACACCTCATCCACTATCTCATTTAACTTGCTTTTTCCAGAGTTTAATGCTAGCCACCTGAAACCAGGTGTCTGTATAAGGGCAACTATTTAAATGGAAGAGATGAAAACTAGTATAAAAATTGTGAAGCAGTTAAGGACCTGCAAAAGGAGTAGGGCTTATGTTGAAAAAAGATCAGTGTATAACATGGAATTTGCTAGACTCTTTAAGAATTGGTCTTATTATTTCAGTATCTCCTAATAATTTCACTAGTAATCTTAGAAAAAAAGGAAAATGTGAAATTTACTCTTGATTTCCATCTTGTCAACAGCACAAACAGGATATTGGAGCCAAGAAATATTATACGATAACCAAATTCAAGCTTATTCACCACAGCCTAAGAAAACCTTTTGGTATAAACTGGTAATTTAAGAGTCAAAAGTTGTACAACAGAATAAAAAATTATTGTTGGTATTGAGCACAGGACAAGCTATAAGCTATCAACACAGGAAAGTCATGAAAGAAAGTAAGGTCAATCCCATCTTTATCAGTGTTTAAATAGAGATGAGAGACAATGCTTATGATGTACATTACTAGTAAGGGTTTATTAGAATGCCACTTATAAAACTCTGTCCATCAATATTTAAGACAGACTGATTCAAACTGTAATAGGTCATAGATGTCATAAGGGAAATACAGAACTTGTTCTATGAAAAGAGATTAAAAGAGGATCTGGTTCAAGTAAATAAAAACTGAGTGCTGTACGTGTTCAAATGGTGAACCAAAGAGAGTAACACTTCAGGACATTATTGAGAGAGAAACAAATGAGACAATTTCTGTGTGATGTTCAGGCACTGCCTTCAGCTGTAACAGTGAAACTGATTTTAAGATGAATCACTAGATTACAGAAGATATTAGATAATGTAATCTGCTGAAAAGCAAAGAGTTTTGGATTGGTGATTCAGAGGTTTTACTCGAGTACCATGGTATTTTTTTACTTTTTCCTGCTAAAACTAATGTACTTGTGTGAGACTTTTGATTTTGAGAAGCTTTTTGTTTTCAATAAAAACCAGGTAGTACAGTTCCATCTAATATTATGTAATTATGTTGGAACACCAGTGCTAAGTGCAGTGAAATAATATGGTGGCTATAGCCTGAAGCAGTCAGAAAACAATGAAGAACATTAAATCCACATGAAAACCAGAGAGCAGAATTAAAAGAAAACTTCATTTCATTAGAGTATTAATCCCAGAAACACACTTTTAAAAATAAAATCAGAAACAGCTCCCTCTGACCTTTGTCAAATGTAATTGGCCTGTGGCAAATACTGGGATGATTTTATATGCTTAATTTTAAAAGTTCAAAATGGGCATTCCTATGTTCTTATCATACAGTAAGAATGGCTTGTAATACATGGGAACCCTTAGAATACACAAACATGAAGAAAATGTGCAAATTTTGAAAAAGAGGGCAATTAAGATTTTTCTCCGCAGAAGGCAAAAAAATATTACTTTAAAAAGAAAATTCAGCTTTAATTCTCAAGTGTTATTGTGCCAAATGTGTAGTCTAAATGCAAGCATTCAAGTATTAGAGATTTAAGCCCTGCTATAAGTGCAAACCACGATGCAACCTCACCTGTGGAGTTACAAGTAATCACTCTTTTGTATACAAGTAACACAAAACCTACAGCACAATGGGAAAGGCAAAATAACAATAGCGTGTCATGTAAATGAAATTTTCCCACAAAAGGCACTTTACCTTTTTTTTTTTTTCTTCCTCCTTACACAGCTTTTATTCCCATTGCCTATGACTATGTAACAAAGGGCTTGTGACAATTTGGGGCATCTCTCTGTGCAAAGCTTATGAATTCTGTTTGATACTTGGGAATCTCTATATATAGCTATGTCAGGTTGAAAATTCTTTGCTAATCTAAAATCCACAAGGTAACGGGAGAAGTTTTTGCTCCTGACACATGATCAATAAAGAATTGTTAAACCTTGGTAACATCCTATTCAAATACAGTCCCTTGAAGTACAATGATGCTAGCAGGTATAGATGAGGTGAGGAGGTAATAAATAGGTGATAGGTCATCTGTTCTACACCTATTTCATCACCTGTTAAAGAAGGGAGCTACCTGACGAAGAGGATAAGGTGGCTGTAAGAGCAAGTGTCTCCAGCTTGGTGGTGTAAAACTAGGAACCTCCGGCAGTAAGTACTGGAGGGGGATGATGGACTTGCAGGCCTCCCACCTACATTTGGAGTGGAAAATAGGCACAGAAAGGCAAAGGGGCTCCTCCCTTCAACACCTCTTCTGAAAACCTTAAAATCTGAGTGTTTGCTTACCCCTGCTGTGAAGAAACTGCAAACCCAGCACACCAAAACTTTAAAATAATGGTATCTGAAGAAACCAGAAGGGCGGGCGGTAAAGCCCCGGTCCGAGGCCGGGGAAGCAGCCGCTCGTTGCTGCTCCCCCAGAGCAGAGCGAGCTCCCGGGTGCGGCGGGGCCTGCGGCGCGGGGACGCCTGGCTCCGGCACCGCCGAGGGCCCCGACAGCCCCTCTCCCCGAGGCCGGGGGTCGGACACTTTCCTGCAAATGAGCCCTGTCCTGCAAACGCGGCCACAGGGATGCCCAACGGCCCTTCTGCCATCGGGAATTCTCGCACTGCCCGGCTCGGCACCCCGCTCCCCGCCGCGGGGCCTTGCCGCCTCTCCCCGGTCCCCCCCGCCCCGCCCGCCGAGCGAGGTCCCGCCGCCCGCGCGCTGAGCAGG